GTGAGTGACATGCTATAACTGAGACTTTTAGTAACATGTTATCAAAGCAGTGGATGATGTGTGAAGAAGTCTGCACTTTTTTTTCTGCAGAAAAGGACCTAGGGGTCACAGTGGACGAGAAGCTGGATATGAGTCAACAGTGTGCTCTTGTTGCCAAGAAGGCTAACGGCATTTTGGGCTGTATAAGTAGGGGCATTGCCAGCAGATCGAGGAACGTGATCGTTCCCTTTATTCGACATTGGTGAGGCCTCATCTGGAATACTGTGTCCAGTTTTGGGCCCCACACTACAAGGAGGATGTGGAGAAATTGGAAAGAGTCCAGCAGAGGGCAACAAAAATGATTAGGGGTCTGGAGCACATGACTTATGAGGAGAGGTTGAGGGAACTGGGATTGTTTAGTCTCCAGAAGAGAAGAATGAGGGGGGATTTGATAGCAGCCTTCAACTACCTAAAGGGAGGTTCCAAAGAGGATGGAGCTCGGCTGTTCTCAGTGGTGGCAGATGATAGAACAAGGAGCAATGGTCTCAAGTTGCAGTGGGGGAGGTCCAGGTTGGATATCAGGAAAAACTATTTCACTAGGAGGATGGTGAAACACTGGAATGCGTTACCTAGGGAGGTGGTGGAATCTCCTTCCTTGGAGGTTTTTAAGGCCCGGCTTGACAAAGCCCTGGCTGGGATGATTTAGCTGGGAATTGGTCCTGCTTTGAGCAGGGGGTTGGACTAGATGACCTCTTGAGGTCCCTTCCAACTCTGATATTCTGTGATTCTGTGATTCTGTGATTCCTGATTGTCCATCATCTCTTGCATCCTGTGGATATTAGCACAGGAGAGAATCTGGGGTAGAACTGGAGGAATCCGTTAGTGAACTAGGCCAAATATATCTAGAGCAAGGAAGGAGAACCATTGACAGAAAAATGGCTGAAAGACTACACTTTTTGCCAATTAACTATGGAAAAAGCAGATGATGGAAGTAGCACAATTATTAAAAAATTAAGCACTTTGTAGGGGAAATGAACTTTGAAGAATCAGGGTCAGGTGGAATCCACCAGAGTATTAAAGAAATTATCTGAGGAATGATTAGCATCCTTATCAGTTATATTAAATTGCTTTTTTTGGACAAAGGTCTCTGATAAATGATTTAGTGCAAATAAAAACAGTCTTCTAAAAGGAAAGCAAAGGACACCAGTTAGTTTAATGTTAAGACCAAGTGAAATTTTGGAGCATTTGAAGAAAAAAAATCATGTATCTGACATATTGTTGTTAGAGGGCTTATTCCTTCACCCTCTCACTTCCCTGGTCCTTCTCGCATGAACAGAGAGCAGCAATACCCGAAGTTCGAAGGTGCAAACAACTCGCTGTTTATTGGGGTGAACTTCCAGCAAGCAATGATTCCAATTTCCTTCCTCAATGTCCCCTCTTTCCAGCTCTGACACCACAGAGTCTTTCCTGTGTCAATGTTCCCATTCCCTGTTCCCATTCCCCCCCTTAGCAAAACATGATTTCAGTTTCCCACCCCCCTCCCCTTACTTCCTGATTGACTGCAGACTATATAGTAAAACTTGAGTTCTGCTTAGTTATACCTTAACCAATTATTTTACTGAAATTGAACTAACCAATCCTAACGTATTGTAACATGTTTATCTAACCAATTATATCCCGCCACCTTAATTGGTTTACACCCAACAAAATTAATTATACAGCAGACAGAAACAATCACAGACCAGACAGAGATTATACAGACAGACAATAGGGAAATGGGGACTAGAGTGATAGAACAACAAAGAAATGAGGATTTCACACCCCAGCTATTGATAAGTGAGTTCTTGCCAGACAGGATGCTATTAAACTAAGTTTCCTTTAAATCTTCTAGACTCTTCCCTTTCTCTGGAGGTGACAGATTGGATCACCTTTCTAACAGCCCAAAACTGCCTTACTTCAGTGTGACCGGTGAGGATGTGACTGTTCGCTTCCCAGCTTATGGCTGCCTCTGCTGTTTAGTCAAAGGCCTTAGCCTAAGAACAAGGCCTCAGACTGTCCTAGTGAGAGGAGGCCTATAAACAGGCAGAGTGATTTTGATTCTTCTTTTGTACTTCTATAACTAGCTAAATGATAAGAATACACTTAAATTCTTAAAGTATAGGCTTTGCAGAGAGGCCTGAATATCTATATCCTAAAAATTGTTACATGCTATTATTCATATACAACCATAGAAATTAGCAATAGAAAACACGTATTTAGTTCATCTTGCCCTTACCGTGCTAAGGCAGTATTGTCCTTATGTGGCATATACCTAATGTTGGGCCTGGTGTTGAGGTGGGGCTTACTCATCATAAGTAACAGTATTAAACATATTATGCAACAGGTACGTAACCCATTCTATTGAGTGGGAATTTTATATATTGGTATTAAGTAGCAAACCTTAGAGTAGGTAAAATTGATCTCTGCCTGGTGTTTGAAGGTATAGTAATCACATTTTTCTAAAATGTATTTGCATAACTTTTTAGTTCCCAGATTGGTAAAGTTTTGCCAAACTGTAATAAGGTGCTTATCTTCTCATAGGCAGTTCAGTGTCGTCATTATTGATATTTCCAAATTCAAAATTATTTGTGTGCATTACATTCATTTTTTTTATTGTAATTGTTTGTCTTCATGGGAACCTAGGTAAATCCTATCACTTTATCAAGCTGTCTTAGTGTATGAGTATTAAAGGGAAACAGTCGACTTTCTAATCATTTTTTTCTGAAAATTGTGTAGCTATTAGAAATAAACTTTCAGATCATTAGGATTGTAAAATTATAGGAAAACGTTTTTTTCTCTGTTCAGTTTGGGACCATGTGTAATTCTGTGGACAAGTAAATGATAGAAAGGAAAGGGAAGTGTCATCTGATTCATAAAAATCTAAAGAAACAAAATTTCAATGGTGTCATCCTCTGCAGCGTGTGTGTGTGTGCGGGGGGGTCTCACTCCCCCTCCCCGCCCACCCAATCCAGGTCTCTTGGTGGAAATTTTGATAATACAATGTGGCCAGAAATGGGTCAACTTGCATATCATTCAAAAGCTCTTTCTCCCACAAACACAGTGGTACCAAACATGACAGACCCAGAACAGTTATGTAGCTATATATTCAAGAAAAGGTTTAAAAATCAATGTATTAATTATACTTTAACACAGGCATGACAAACACGCAGCCCTCACAAAGTTAACTTGAAGCTGTCTACTGACAGTACTGTTAATGCTCAGAACATGATACCTGATTAATTTTTTTATGTTAGATTATATAAATGGAAGGAGTGCTCTCAAGCTGATATGCCATCATCAGCAAAAAAAAGCTATTACATGGTATTGATTATCAGATTTGTTTATTATTCTAAAAGTTGTAATGAGGCACTGGTTAAGACATCAGCAAGAAATTCCCGGAATCCATCAGCAAACGGTATGGACATAGTTATGCATTATATAATATAATTACAATCCCAAAATAATTTATTACAAAGTCCTTGTTTCACTTTGGTTATTTTTATGCATCAGTAGGGAGACAAAGTATCAACTGGAGCTGAAACTTTGGAAAATACCACTGTGGAGATTTCGATTTAACACAATGTGTGGTGGTACCTTACATGCTCTAAGACAGGGGTCAGCAACCTGTGGCACGCATGCCAAAGATGGCACGCAAGCTGATTTTTGATGGAATGCTGCTGCCTGCCGGGGTCCTGGCCCCACTCGGGGTCCTGGCCCCACTCAGCCCCCCCGCCCACTGATTTCTCCTGCGGGGGCAGGAGGCAGAAACTTGGTCATGCCGGTAGCCAAGCTCCCCCCTCCCCTGCTTCTTCCCCCAGCGTGGTGCTTTCCTACCCCTCCTCCTCCCACTCCCACTCCCTCTCCCTGCCGCCGATCAGCTGATCGCTCTTGCGAGGGGGAGGAGGAACGGAATGGAGCCGCAGCGTGCTCACTGCTCCGGGGAGGAAGCAGAGAAGAGGTGCGGATGGGGCCCTGGGGAAAGGGGTGGGAACAGGGCATATCCCCTCCAGCCCCCTGCCGTGAGCACCTCCACGGGCCAAGCATCCCAGCCTTTTACCCTGACCCCTGAACCCCCCACACACCCAACCCCCTGCCCTGACCCCTGAACCCCGCCCCACAGCCCTCTGCCCTGACCCCTACACCCCCACACACACACCCAGTCCCCGTTCTGACTCCTGCACCCCCCACACATACCCAGCCCCCCCACACTCCATGCCCTGACTCTTGCAACCCTCCCCAACCCCACCCTGAGCACCAAACAGGAGCTCCTGCATCCCCCTTCCCCCACATTCCCACCTGCACCCCTAGTCTGGGGTCCCAGCTGCCGGCCCCTTGCCAGCCGGGGTCCTGCAGGCCCCACTCAGCCCGCTGCCAAACTAGGTGAATGGAACCCCAGGCCAGCAGCAGGCTGAGTGGGCCGGCGGCGTAAGATCAGCATTTTAATTTAATTTTAAATTAAGCTTCTTAAACATTTTGAAAACCTTGTTTACTTTACATACAACAATAGTTTAGTTATATAATATAGACTTATAGAGAGACCTTCTAAAAACGTTAAAATGTATTACCGGCACGCAAAACCTTAAGTTTAAGTGAAGACTTAGCACACCACTTCTGAAAGGTTGCCGACCCCTGCTCTAAGAAGTGCACCCATAAACTGAATTTGGCAAAGTTGGAGAGGAAGTACATCAAGCACCAGGAAAGAGTTGAAGCTGCCAGGGCAAGTGTTAGCTGTAGGAAAGATTTGCCTTATACTAGGTCCCATGGCATGCATCTTGAGAACATATGCTTCCTCTGTGATAAGCCCAAGGGCGTCCATTAAGCACAGTTTCAACATGTGAGACAGGTGAGAAGCAGTCATGTTTACAGATAATGTTGCATGGAAAATAACCTGGATGCATTGACCCAAAGAAGCCCGGGCATATGACATTTGGTATCCCATTGAGTGCTACACTGAAAATGTGTGTAATGTGTTGCGTCAAAAGGTAAAAGCAACAAATACTAATTTTACTACTGTACCCTGTGTGGCTCAGCTGGAATTCATAAATTGCTTCAGAGAGGCACTAATGGAGAGGAAAGTGGTGGCAATGACCAATGCAGAGGCTAAGTATGGAGAAATATGTGCTTTGAACAGGATTGAAGAGGAACAAACGTTCAGCAGAAAGGCTCTTAAAGCACTTATTGAAGATGAACTGAGGGATATGGATGTCCTTTTCAGCAATCTTATTTGCAGGAATGAATCATAGCGCATACCCTTAAAAGCAGCAAAAGACATGGCACTATCAAAAGCAGAAGAAAGCATCGATGTCAACAGTAATATGAAGACTCTGTTTGCAGCTGTTATTCTTTTTTATAAAAAATAATTTTGTCCTGCAGTACATGGGAGTTTCAGGGATCCACAACTGATGCCAAACCAGGAAAAATATAATGTGCATGACTTGTACTTCTTTAAATGATGAATTGTGGTTGCAGTGTACCAGCAAGTATACCGGTACCAGCAAATATAAGAGTAAGCAAGTAAAGCACCAGGCTGGCATAGAGTCATAGAACCATCGGGTTAAAAAGTAGCACAAACGTCATCTAGTCTAACCCCTTGCCAACATGCAGGATTTGTTGTGTCTAAACCATCCAACACAGATGGCTATCCAGTCTCTTTTTGAACTTCTTCAGTAAAGGAGCTTCCATGACCTTCCTAGGCAGTCTGTTCCATTGTCCTACTGTTCTTACAGTTAGGAATTTTTTCTGAAAATTTAATTTAAATCTGCTATGCTGTAGTTTGAACCCATTGCCTCTTATCCTGCCCTCTGTGTCAAGACAGAACTGTTTTCCATCTTTTTCTTTTATGGCAGCCTTTCAAGTATTAGAAGACCACTATCATGTCCCCCCCTTAATCTCCTATTTCCAAACTAAACATACCCAGTTCCTTCAGCCTTTGTCCATGTGGCTTGCATTCAATCTCTTCTATCATCTTTGTCACTTGCTTCTGGATCCTTTCCAGTTTCTCTAAATCCTTTCTGTACATTGGTGACCAAAACTGGACACTGTACTCCAGCTGAAGGCTAACCAGCGCTGAGTAGAGTGGTACTATCATCTCCCATAACTTGCATGCTATGCCTCTGTTAATGCAACCTGTAACTACATTTGTGTTTTTGTTGTTGTTTTTGCAACAGCATCACATTACTGACTCATATTGAGGTTGTAATCCATCACAACTCCCAGATCCTTCTCAGCAGTGCTGCTATGAAGCCAGTTATCCCCCATTCTTTATTTGTGCATTTGGATTTTCTTCCCTAAGTGTAGCACCTTACATTTCTTGGAATTTTATTTTGTTCTCTAATTTATCAAGATCCCTCTGAATCTTAGCTCTACCCTCCAAAGTGTTGGCAACCCCCCTAGCTTTGTGTCATCTGCAAATTTGATCAGTATGCTCTCTATTTCTACATCCTGGTCATTAACAAAGATGTTAATGCCAGACCCAGAACAGATCCCTGTGGAACCCACTTGAGACCTCCTTCCAATCCGACATCATTCCATTAATAGATCTGATGTGTTCTTTACTTACCCTGATCTGTATCCCTTCCCCTTTATTGTCTATGGCAGCTTCCCTAGTTGTCCAGTCACATGTTATTTTTTGTGAGAAGATTGAAGCAAAGTAGGCATTGAGGAGCTCTGCCTTTCAATCATCATCTTCATTCAGCAGCAGATCCACACTGTTCCTGATCTTTTTTTGTGTGACATATTTAAAGAACCCCTTCTTGTTGTCTCTAACATTCCTTGTCCGCTGTAACTCATTCTTTGCCTTGGACTTCCTGATTTTTGTCCCTACATATTCACTCTGTTCCCATGTATACTTTCTTGGTGACATGCCCCTCCTTCTATTTCCTGTATGTATCCCTTGAGAATTTTAGATTGTAAAATTTTAGATTCTAAAAAGCTCCTTGTGCAGCCACATTGGCCTCCTGTGGCTCTTAACTTTCCTATGCATTGGAATAGCTTGATGTTGAGCCTCTAGTATTACATCTTTTAGGAACTGCCAGCCTCCTTCACATCTTTTTCTTCCTAATTAGTCTTTCCATAGGATCTTCCATAGGATCTGGTTTACATCTGCCTTTCTGAAGTCCAGTGTCTTTGTTTTGCTGTTCTCATGTCCTCCTTTCCTTAGGGTCTTGAATTCTATGAGATTTGACCACCTTCACATTCATAACTAATTCATCCCTGCTGGTCAATGACGGATCAAAAATGGATGACCCCTTAGTTGTTGTTCAGCTTTCTGAATCAGAAAGTTGTCCCCTACACATGCCAGGAACTTGTAGGACATATGTTTTGTGGTAATAGTTTTCCAATAGATATCAGGGAAGTTAAAATCCCCCATTAATACTAGCTCATATATGCTAGCTAATCTTGTTATCTGCTAGTAGAATGCCTCATTCACTTCCTCTTGATTTGGTGGTCTATAATAGACCCCTACCATCACATTGGTACTATTCTTTTCCATTTTTATCCTGACCCAGAGACTTTTAGTATGTCTACTGCTCACTTCCTCTTGGACCTCAGAGCAAGTGTACATATGTTCTTGACATACAGTACAACACCTCCTCCTTTTCCCCATATATCCTTCCAGAACAAGTTATCTCCCTCAATGCTGGTACCCCAGTCATGGAAGTTGCCATCTTATCATGAAGCCTCATGTATGAGTGCTTAAATTAAAAGATTTACAAAGTCTGCTACTTTTACCCTTGTGTAAACATTGCATAACAATTTTTTTGCGCCAAGGTAATGACTGCCTGCATTCTGACAGAATTCTAACAGGTCTTCAATCAATTGCATCCCTATTTTGAAAATCCAAATTTATCTTGCATTGGTTGCCTCTTGTAGCCAATTCCTGTTCACTAAAGCAAAAACAATGCCATTTTTCACTAGTTGGCAAATAATGCATTGTTCATAAGATACCGTTGAGTGATGGTCAGGTTCAAGACTGCCTCCATATTTCATCTATGGAATACCTGATGAGAAATATAACTACTACTACATAAATATTTTATAAAAACAAATTAATTATACATATTTACCAGTATGTAGCTTATTTGTGTGTTCCCTTTATGCATTGCCTTCGTTGACTATGAAAACACGTTTGACATCATAGAGATCAATGCACTGCTGAAAGCTCTTGCAGAACAGGGCATCGACACAAATTACATCAAACTACTAAAGGAAGTAAACTCTGACTGCACTATGGATATAACTCTGTTCGACACTCCCCTTTACATCCCAGTCAAAAAAGGTGTGAAGCAGGGAGACACGGTTTTACCGAAACTCTTCATGGCCTGCATTGAAATGGTAATGAGGCAGATGAATTGGAAAGGTGGAATCAGCATCAATGGAGAGCAGTTAAACCACCTCAGATTCACAGACGATATCACGTTGATTGCCGAAAACACTATCAAACTACAGAAAATGCTGTGAGAATTCAACACAAAAAGCAGCCAAGTTGGACTGAAAATGAACTGCTCTAAAATGAAATGTATGCAGTCTTATGCCTTGCCAAAAGCCCAAGTATTAGTCAAGGGAGAACAAATAGAAGAAGTTGAACAATATGTCTATTTGGGCCAAGAAATTAATATGTGCCATGGTCAGGATGGCAAAGTCTCGTGAAGAAAGAAAGCTGGCTGGTGCACATTCAATTCTATCAGGGATGTCCTCCAAGGAAAAATCAACAAGGCAACATGTGCCAACTTCTTCAACTCAATTGTACTGCCAGCAATGTTGTATGGCAGTGAAACATGGGCGCTGATGAAGACAGAGGAGGAACAACTCTCTGTCATGGAGAGGGCGTTGGAAAGAAGAATTCTGGGGATTTCAATCTGCGACCAAGTCCCCAATGAAGTGATCACACAGCAGAGTGGAGTGCAGGACATTATTGAAAGCAGATACAGTAAAATGCGATGAGCTGGGCATATAGCTAGGCTTACTGACAATCTATGGACTACAACTGTCGCCGAGTGGTACCCATGGGAACTGAAACAACCATTTGGCTGACCTCCAAAGAGATGGGAAGATTTTATTGTGGAAAGGCATGGCTGCACATGGGGAGGAAGGCCAGGATAAGAGAAGAATGGAAGACTTATTGTAATCGGCGCAATCTACATGAGGGCTGAAGGTTTGATTGATCAAATACTCAACCCACTTACGCTGTAACCAAAAGTAAGTTTTAGGTAAAGTTAGTGGTTAGGGCTAATAGAGGAGAAATTATGGAAATGCACAACATAGTATGATGTAGTTTATCAGAGAGACAGGTGGGTGATGGTCCAATAAAAGAATATAACTTCTGTTGGTGGAAGAGACAAGCTTTCAAGCAACACAGAGCTCTTCATCAGGTCCGGGAAAGGTACTCCAGAATGTCACTGCTAAATTCAAGGTAGAATAGATTGTTTAGCATGAGTAGTTAACACATATTCTAAGGGACCATTCAAGGTGAAGTGGCCCATTAACACACCTTACAGTCATAAGACATAAAAGGTGGAGGGAGGGGTTAGTTGTTGTAAAAAGCCATAAACCCAGTGTTTTTATTAAGACCATGATTTTTAGTGTCTAGCAAAGTTATCACTTTAAGCTCCCTAGCTCATCTTTTGAAGGTGTTGTGCAGATTTCCTTTGAGGACGAGGTCACATATGGAGTGATTGTTTTGTGAGAAGTGTTCGACTACAGTCAATATGGCATTATTACTTTTTTTGCATGAGTTCATTCGAGAGCTGTAGTGACTGTCAGGTTCTACCCACCTAGTTGTTATTGGGGCACTTAGAGTTCTGGATTAGATACATCACGTGTTGTGATAGGCATGTGTAGTATCCATAGATCTTGAAAGATGCATTGGGGCGGTATTGATAATTATAGCAATGGTGATGTGTCTACAGGTTTTGCATCTGTTACGGCAGGTTTTGGTGCTGCTTTGGGTTGATGGGTCCTGATCTGTGGGGAGCTTGCTTCTGATAAGGAGCCTGGTGAGGCTGGAGGATTGTTTGAAGGCCCGAACCGGGCCTCCCGGGGGGGCAAGTGGGGCAATTTGCCCCAGGCCCCGCAGGGGCCCCACAAGCCCTGTCCGAGAATCCCTTCCCTGGCTACTCACCCATCGGTGGTCCGAGTCTTCGGCGGCACTTTGGCGGCGTGCCCTTCAGTCGCTCCGGGTCTTCAGCGGCATTTTGGCAGCGGGTCCTTCAGTGCTGCCGAAGACGTGGAGCGAGTGAAGGACCCGCTGCCGCCGACGACTCAGAGCGCAGCCCGGTGAGTACAAGTGCCGAAGCGGGTGGCGCCTTTTTTTATGTCCGCTCCCCCGCTTTGCCCCAGGCCCCCTGAATCCTCTGGGTGGCCCTGGGCCCAAAGAGGGGGGTTGGGAAAGATTTCTTTAAGGATATGGTCCCCATCGAGTATGGGTTGTAATTGTTTAATGATACCTGTTATGTTGTGTATGATACTTTGTGTAATGTATAGCAGTGCATTTAACTCTTTCACATATCAAAAATGCCTGAAAAGTGGTTAGTTTACTTAGTCTTAAATTGTCCTTACTGAAAAACCAACTAAAATTAAAGTGAATATCATCACTTGACCAGAGGAAGTAGAGTACGATCTTCAACTGAGATCTCTCCCTGCATTTTCTGATAGCACAGCATTCCAAATTAGGAATGTATTCCATAGTTAGCCCCTCTCCTTTACTTTCTATTTATTCTTTTAAGTTACAAATGGTAGCAATTTTCTTTTGTTTTTACTTACCTTAAAGTTCAAAACTCAGCTTGGTAAGCATCATTTTCAGATTCAGCACATTCAAATTATGAAAGAAAATCATTTTAGCAACTTTTCCCCAGAAGCGTTTTGTTTCTTAATATCTACTGACCTGGGAATTTGGCCTACACTATTACGACAAAGGCTCAGGGACCAGAAAGCAAATAAAAAACCCTCCCTAAATGTATTACTTATTTTTAAGCCAATCCTGTAGTGTTTGGGGTCTTGACTCATAATTTTTGAACACTTGAGTATAGCAGCACTACGACAGATCCACCTCATAAGGCAACTTGTTTTTTTTAAAAAGATCCATATGGAATGTGCCCCTTTAAAGATTGATAGCAGAATAAATGGGTGTTTTATGAGAGTTGCACAATTAAGTTGGATCTCCCTTCCAGTACTTTTCTTTTACCTGGTTTCCTTAGTTGTTGTTATCTGAAACATAAAAGGGAAGTCTATTCAATGCCATTTAACTCATATGATTACATTTATTCTCTTTATAAAATATCAGATTGCCAGGGGCTAAGTTTGTCTTAAAGGGAGTGTTAGAATTTTTTGAAACTGTTCCTACAAGCAGCCTTATTATGAAGTACATATTGTACACAGTGGTTACAATGTGGTTGTCAATTTGATAAACCTTTGAAAATGCTCTGTTAAATGACACATGCCACTATTTGATCCCAGATTACATCTATGGTTAATATATTCTAGAATGATAGAGGGACCAATTTTAGTTTTCATAAAGCAGCATGTACAGTATCTCATAGTACAGCATGTGGTTGTGTGACTAGTTTATTTTTATTTTTCCCAATGAATAAGCTGGGAGGGGATACAAAAAGACCAAAAATTTAAAAAAAAGGTGAAGGAGTGGGAAGGGAGAGGAAGGAAAGGAGGGAAGAAAGGAGGACAGGGTGGGGAAAGGAAGTGACATCTGTTTCCATCCACTAGGAATTAATCAACGATTTCTAAAAAATCAGATCAAATCTTTTCAAATTTGGCTGTGGTTAACCTCTTGTCTGATTGTCACCCACTCTTTAGCTGCCAGGTCAGCCAAGTTGCTGTGCCAGGTTTCTATCCTTGGAGACAGCCTGCCCTTGCTGCTAAGCTGTATGTCTCATTTTGCTATAAGCACTGCTCCAGAGAACCAAACTCTCTGAATTAAAGGGTTTCCAAGATGATGTGTTATTTCCCAAAACATAGTTTTGGGAAGTAATTTTTAAGGAGGTGTATGCATTATACTAATCCTCCTGCCTACTTTTAGCCACAAGGATTGTATTCCTGGACAGTCCTAACCCATATGAGCCAGTGTGACTCTGGGAGACCAGTATCTCCATCAGTAGTCAGTTTTTTCAAGGCCCATGCATTGTAACCTATGCTGGGACCAGTGTGCCAGAAATATAATTTTCTGCTGAATCAGCCTTAATCATAGGTCAACAGTAGAGGTCGTTTTAATGTTTTGCAAGGAACTTTACGATGGTTAGGATAGACACCAATCTTTTTTCCTGGCAATCTAAATTAGACAGGTCCTTTTGGGCCAGGACGTCCATAAATAGCCAAATTGGCCCGTTTTTGTCTGGTAGCCAATATTATAGGGGACATTTTACAAGTCAAATGGTAATGGGCTGAACCCAGTACTCCTGCCAATGGGAGGGATTGGACCAACTCCCATTCCATCAGCAGCCAGGGAGGGGTCTGCTCTGTGATGATCTGGAGCTACAGGGCTGCCTGGCTGAGGATAAAGGCTGGTGGGAAACTGAAGACTCCAGATGATGTCAGGAATTGCAGCTTACACAAAGCTAGTCTTGGCCTCTCACCCACCTCCCAGAGAAATATTGTAAACAATTCCATTCATTTTTCTAAAATAAAACTGAGAAATAGTAGCTGGTAGACATCTCAGGAAACACAATATTTGGAGAAGTGAATTCATTTTGATAATCTTTTACCCAGTCTCTGTAGTAGCTATAAGCCAATCTTCCCTCATCAATTATGATGCCAAAATATTAGCTAAAGCCCTTGCAAAAAATGCTTGATGGAATTGTATCCCAAATTATTCATGTCAATCAGATGTGGCTGATCTGTCACAGACGTGGATTTGACAATTTGCGCCAATGGACTAACATAATTGCTACTTCAAGAGAGTTGAAGGAACACTCTAGCTGCCATCTCCTTGGATGCAGAGAAAGCCTGTGACTGTATATCCTGACATTACCTCTTTTGCATGCTTGCTAAATTTGGATTTGATAATCAGTTTATCTTCTGGATTAAACTTCTTTATAGGAATCCCTCTTCCAGGGTGGTCACCAATGGCATTATTTCAGAGCTATGAGGCAAGTTTGCCTCCTCTTGCCTTTGCTGTTTGACCTACTCCTAGACCCTTTAGCTATTGTTATCTGTACAAATCAAAATATGCATCACATCTGGATAGGCCAAACAGAGCACATGGTCATGCTTTTATTCTGACAACGCTCTTGTTCTTGTATCTATACCTGAAGATTCTGTTCCTAACTTATTAAATCTAACTAATTTGGATATCTCTCAGGATATCAAATCAATTGTTAAAAGTCATAAATTTTGGTTTGTGACTGTTTTATTAGGAGTTTTAAAACAAATTATTTGCAAATATTTTGAAAGCACATTGGCAACCATGCTCTTGTTTTCTATATTTCTATTCTGTGGCCTACATTAGGGAA